TTATGAATAAAGTTCCTATAAACATCTGTGTGTAGGCTTTTGTATGAACATGAGATTTTGATTCAGTTGGGGTAAATACCAAAGGGTTTGATGAATATACCTGCAGTTCAGATAAAGGTTAAGTAGCAGGTGTCTTCAAGTACTCTCTGTAGGCAATTACTTTCTTCCTGGCCATTGAAAAGAACCTAAGGGCTCACACTATTTCTTCACCAAGGACACTAGATGGCAGCAACTAACATTGCAAATAGGAACCCTCTGTTAAATCTTTTTTACTTGACCTGGGAAGCACTACAGAAAAAAAATGGTTGGAAAATAGGCTTCTCTAAACAAAGTAGTCAAGTGAAATGGCCTTGGAATTCTGGCTTCATATAAAGTTCCCTTTCCCTCCCTGGGAAAGGGGGTGCCTCACTTCATCATCTTCAGAAAGAATATGACTGAAGGAATTATTTGGAGAATTGTTAGAATGAAATTTAAAAAGAAAAATTATTTGTCTAAAGATTTCTGGATTATTTGGCTTCTCAAATAAAACAAATTGTCAGGATAACTAATGGAAGTGTCACATAGGAGACAGGAGATTCAATCTGCTAGTGGTGACAAACACTAACCTGAGCTTCTATGTACTAGTAGGAGAAAGGTGGGCAGGAACAAATTGAAGAGAGAATACAATTCATTTGGCACCGTGACTGAAGAATGTGCCCTCTACAGCTCTGGGACAAAGGTCAAGATGTCCAAGGTCGCATTGGAGGAAGAAATCATAAGGCCAAGGGGGAATTTCTGGTCAAGGCATTACAAGCTCACATTTTAATAACATTCATTGCTCCAAACATACAGCAATAATAAAAAAAAAAAATCAGGAAACCAAAAAGATATGGACAACCTTTAATACAAGATATATATCTCCTTGGAATAGAAAACAGAACAGAAAACTTGGGGGAGATAGATTAATAAGGCATTTAAGATTCCTGATGGCTGTGAGTTATTTCTATAGGTTAAATGGAACCTAAGAGTGCTCCATACAAGATGGGAAACGAGCCAGGCTCACAGTCTCAACACAAGGGCTTTTCCACCCCTTTTCCTGATGAAAAAAAGCTGCATCAAAATGTAAGCTGAGAGATGTACCAAGATATATAATTTAAAAAATTACACAAGACCTCTGTGGAAAAATTATGAAATACTATTGAAACATCTAAAAGAAAATATAAGTAAATGGAGATTTATGACATGTTCATGGTTTAGAAGAATCAATATTGTAACTTGGCTAATCTTCCCCAAGTTATTCTATTAATGCTGATAAGGGTTTTTTTTTGAACTTGCCAAGAAGACCCAAACTACAGGGACTTTGGAAAGCAAAGATAATTCTGAAGAAGAATAAAGTGAGGGGACTTTCCTTATTGGATATAAAAACTCGGTTTTAAGTTAATAGTTATGGCTGTGGAATTCCTTTGGAGATACCAGGTGGACCATCGCAACAGAGGAGAGAGTCCAGAAACAGACTCATGAAGCTCTGGATATTGGATATATGGCAGAAGTAACATTTCAAATCAAAGGTCAAAGAATGGATGATTCCATAAAGAGCGCTGGGACAGTAGATTAATGAAATGGGAAAAAAGTAAAATTAGATTTCAACTTCATATCTGCACACAAATGAATTTCAGATGGATTAAGAGCTAAATGTGAAAAGTTAAATAGTATAAATTTTAGAAATACAAAATATCTTTATGAACTTGGGAGAATAATTAGTCAAAATACAAGAAATACAAAATATAAAGGTTAAGAATGAGAAATTTGACATTAAAACTAGAAATTTATGTGTACACACACTCATGCATGTGCGCATGCCAAATGAAAAAGCAATCCACAGATGAAAAGAAGATATTTGCAACACATATAATTAAAAAAAGGACCAGGTCTCATAAAGAATTCTTATGAATCACAAAGAAAAAGCTATTAGAAAATTGGCAAAGGACTAAAAAAGGTAAAGAAAAAGAATAAGTTTGTGACAAATTGTCTAAAACCAAAAAACAACATAACAAGACCACCCAGGTCAGAATCATCCTCCATATCTCTCATCACGTCTTTATGCTCATCTTTTTTTCCTCTCCATTCAGTCATTCAACATTTATTCAACGCTTGCTTATTGCTCACCTTCTACCTGCCATGTATTGTTTTATTTATTTTTTACTTTTTTATTGTTTAAAGTATTACACATAGTAGTACATATGTTTCCTTTTTTTCCTCCCAATTGACCTTCACCTAGCTTCCCCTACCCCCAGCACATGCCCTCAACCTCCTCCCAGTGTCTTGAGTCCATTGGTTTTGCTTAGATGCAGTTTTAGATACTTGCATACATTATTGAAGACAACAGACAGAGATCCCTGCTTCTGTGAAGATTATATTCTAGCATTGGGGTTGGGGGAGGAAGAAGAGGCACTGAAGAAAATACACATTGAACATAATAGTTAGGTTACTGCTTGTGTTGGATGAAAATAAGTGTTCTGGGGAACTGGGGAGATAATGAAGGGCCTGAGCAATCAGGAGTGCTAGGGTAAGGGTTGCAATTGTCAATGGATTGTCAGGATAAGCCTCCCAGGGAAAGTGAGATTTGAGCAAATCTTTGGAGATGAGGGAGTCATTTGAGATTACCTGAGGAAACATTATATAGTGGGGTGGCAGGTTGGGGAGGACATCTCCATCTTAGGCTGGACCTGAGATAGCTGGATGAGAAGGTGAATCAGGCCAGAGGGGACAGTGATTGTCCGTCAACTCTCCAGCCTGGGGCAGGCACATTTGCTTTAGAGTTCCCTGGAAGAGGTTCTCAGATCTAAACAACTTCAAGCTAGAGAGAACCTGAGTTCATGACGTGCTCTTTGTTTGAGGAGTAGATTTTCAGGAAATAGAGAGTGCCAAATATGCAAGTCAAATTATTTAAGGTTCAGTTCAATTTGGTTTAATAATTAAAAGAAATACTTTTAGATTTTTTTCTCTGGCAGAGATTAGGCTATTAATTAGCATGTCATGGGAACCTAGCATTTATTATTCTCTCAAAAACCCATTTGTAGTGGAAAATGTGCTGAGCCTCATTTGTGAAAGATATAGTTTATATATTTTTCAGATATCTGCCAAGTTCCCAGTGATTTCCCTCTTCTTAGGGAGCTACCTTTAGAATCTACATTTCCACTGCATGGCAAACCCCCGGTCATAGCTCTTTGGACCAAACCTGGAATCATGAGCAGAACTGAGCCAATAAAATTTTTTTTTTCTCTTAGGAATTTGGATTGGAGCCAAGAGGGCCAGGCCACACTGACTGGAACTATAAGATGCAAATTAACATATCACCAATGGTCTTGAGGAGCTGAGAAAGTTGATTTATAGAGAGGGAATAAAGCAAATGCATAGAGAATAGTTTAGGGGAGACACATAGAAAGTTCTACCTTCAGGTTCCAAGGCACAGTTCTTCCCTGAAGTCCAGGTGCCTCCCAACTCTTGAGTTCAATAAAACACTCCTTTATTCTTCATCACATTTATTATTTTAGTTAGTCAATTAAACTTACAATCTAGTCCAATTGACTAATTTAGTCCGATTTAGTGATGGTACAGGTCTCCAGTAGGGAGTGCAATTTGATTTTTTTTCCCCACCAGGGACAATGGGTCTCTTTCTTATTCATTGATCTGTTCATTCATTCACAAAATATTGTGGGGTATGTATTAAGTGTTAGTGAGTGAACATATAAGAATGAATAAGACATGGTCTTTGCACTCAAATAATTCATTTGTCTTGATTTTTCTTTTTAAGGTGGTTTGGTTAGGATGTGTGGATGTAGTCTTTGAAATACCAGAGTTCTCTTTTTTTGAGCTTGATGGATTTATGTACTCTCTTACTTATTTAGGATTGCTAGGTATGAAAAGTACTTTGTGAACTACAGACTGCTACGCACTAACTTTTCACTGGTTACTTTTCATTAAACAATATTTTAAGGCTTTTAATAGTTTGGGAAAAGATGCTTTTTTGTGTGTGTGACCAAAAGATATAAATACAACAAATAAGGATTGTGTGCTTTTGGAGAAAACAGGTAAATAAAAATCAACTGAGACAGAAATAAGGCCTATCAAATGAGCTCAAATACACCTAGGATTGGTCTAGTTATCTGGGTGAATTGTGTAGCTGGTGGGACTTGGCTCTGATTCTTTTCAAATGTCAGAGATAGATCCTGCTCACTTAGACAACCCACTTCTCCCCCCCCCCCCCTCCAGCCCTGCTTTCAACTGGTGCTTATTTCCAAAAACCCACTCATATCTCTTTCCCTTTCTATGATGAGAGTTCTGATATTTTACAGTTCTCTAGACAAAATTCATTAAATATTTATTAAGGTGAGTGCATTTAAAACTTGCTTTGCTGCCTTGAAATCCAATGTCTCAATTTCAACAACCAATTGACAGTTAAAACAATAAAAGGGTGAGGGACAGCAGAGCTCTAAGGATCATCTCTGCCCAGTTAAGAAAACGAGTTTTGAAGAGCTGGTTGATATGTGGTCTCTGTTGTCCTTGTTAACACTCTGATCTACATGTATAAAGCAAAGATAATACTTCCTTTCTCATAGAGGGGTATAAGGATTAGATGGGTGACATAGATCAAGTTGTCTGGGGTGTCTCTGACTTGTAGTAGGTGAAAATAAAATAGTAGTAGCTATTGTTATTGTTATGATTGTCTATTACAAGTGATTTCCCCATAGTCGTTCAACTAATCAAGCAAGCTTCAGGTCCTTTGAGCCTCATCATGGCTATGTCTTTGGTACTATACTGTCTTCTTTTGGTAATGGCTTTAAAAATGAAATCATTACAACAGAAAACCTAAAGAAAGATGGTCTTTGCACTGATAACATTCTCTTTAACATTATTGTCATTCTCATTTGCTTGGTCCTTTTAATATCCCTCTTTTACAATTATAGTTAAAAAGGGATGTGACCTTTAAATTCCTATGTAGCTTTTTAAATTTATCTTACTTGAAGTCTCCGGGGTGGATGCCTTTTAATAATACTTGTTTCTCCCTGTTCCAGTGGGATGTCAAAATACATGGCCCTGGGCACTTGAAGGATTGGGGGAGAAGCAAGAAAAGACACATTAGAAACAATTTACCATTAAATGAGTTCAACAATTAGATTTTAGACTTGGTTAACACAATTTTGTACCTTCTTTGAGAATCATTGATGTGAGAAACATTGATGTGAAATATCATCATCCTTCATGCCCAGTATGGCTCAGCAGTTGAATGTCCACCCAGGAACCAAGAGGTTCACAGTTCAATTCTGGATCAGGGCACATGCCCAGGGTTGCAGGCTCAATTCCCAGTGGGTATAGGGGGCATGCAGGATGATGATATTTCACATCAATGTTTCTCACTCTCTATTGTGTTAATTGGTTAACACAATTTTGTACTTTCTATGTGTCTCCCCTAAGCTATTCTCTATGCATTTGCTTTATTTCCTCCCTGCAAATCAACTTTCTCAGCTCCTCAAGACCATTGGTGATATGTGACCACACAATTTTGTAGCATGTCAATATTATTTCTTGATAAAAACAACCTTGTTAGGAAACAGAGACTCCAGAGCTCCATTGTGAATTGGATTTTTTTTAGCTTGATTTTCCTGGGCCCTTGGGACTACTACCATGACCAACACTGCATGAATGAAGTTCTTGTCCTTTCCTCTCAACAGGCTGGAGGCATTCCAATTTCTAGATTCTTGTGTAGACTGTCCTACAGCTCCATGTTGCATGGAAAAATTTAAATGGAAAAATTCCTGGATAATTATGTATTCCTATCCTTAAGATACTTCAATGACCACATCAAGAACTTTGCTCTGTCCTTATTTTCTTTTAAGAGATGCCAGCACAGTGAGCAAGACAGAAACAATAGCAAAGGCAACTAAAAACATGTGGGATTTAAAAATAAAAATATTTCCAGCAAAATTTTCTTCAGTAACCTGACTCTTCTGTAATTGCATACTATGATTTGAGCTATATCACCTCATTATTTAATTTGATTCTCCTGAAATGGCATAGGCAGTGTCAAGTAGTTATTTTTACTAGTATCTCTGATTTATAATTGAAGAAAACAGAGGAAGTAAATTGCTCAAGTCATACCATTTGGTATTTGGTGGCACTGCGGTTTGAATATGGCCCCTTGAAAATAGTGGTCAAAATGCTCACCATTGCTGAAACTGGTTTGGCTCAGGGGATAGAGCATTTGCTTACGGGCTGAAAGTTCCCAGGTTCGATTCTGGTCAAGAGCCATATGTACTTTGGTTTCGGACACTTCCTCAGTAGGGGGTGTGCAAGGGGCAGCTGATTTGTTTCTCTCTCATCGATGTTTCTAACTTTATCCCTCTCTCTTCCTCTCTGTGAAAAATCAATAAGATATATATTTTTTTAAAAATGCTCACCATTCCCTAGTTATTTTTAATGTGATTTTGCTATTTCAAAAATAAGAATATTTCCCAGTTGTGACTCTAACCCATTAAAATCAGCTTTTACCATTCAGATACCAAAATCTTAAAACCGGATAAAGGGTTTAGTTGTTTTTAAAAAGGGAATTATTCAATAAAATTAAGAGGAAAGTTCCCATTCATGACCTTAGCAAGTTGAAGAACATAAAAAAACCTAAGTCATAGGGAGCCAATCAAAGGTTGTCAGTTACAGAAAGTAGCTCTGAAAGTCATTCTCAGTAAGATTTCCTAGGTACCAAAATAGATATAAGGCTTTCTGGCCAAGTTGACCAATAATGGGAGCTTGATAATGTGTTATTGATCTAGAATGTGAAGAAAAAAGAAAATTACATATAAATATATGTACTAGTATGTTTACATTATTCATGCACACTTCTCTTCCCAAGTTAGAAGTCTAGTAAAATATCCCAGGATAATTTACAGCCACTCCAGGCCTAGAGCTTCCTATCTTAATGGGGGAAAAAATGTTCTTAGTTCTGCAGATGACCATGAAAATATGGAGTTGTGGACAGGGTGACTCATCCACTCATCTGTACTGCAATAAATCAATTTTGTTTGGGGCGGTTTCCAAATTCCCATTAGAGTGAACTCCTACAGTGCTGCTTTCAAAATAACAAAGCCAGAGGCATTACACAGTACTGGAGAGGATGATTTAAATTTAGAATCTGATAGAAACAACATGATGGTCACAAGGTACCACACCTTTATCTAAATAATTTTAATTGTCTGACAAAGCTACGTATAAACATTGAAAGCACTATAAACTAAACTGAAACAAAAGGAATTTTCCTTCTCAGATGGAATGGTGAAAAGCTCTTTCTGCAGTTTACACACCCATTCTAACGTACCCAGAATACTTAACAATTGACAAACATTCAATGTCCCATCAAAAGATGTTAGGAGCCAGTCATTGAGAAACTTTCTGAGATTATGGGGTTAGACAGGTAAACCTATTAATAGCTCTCAAATCTCACAAATACACAAATCTCACACAGGCTTCATGCTTACCTGCAGAATATCTTCCATACCTGGTCTCCCGGAGAGGGGGCAACCGCCCTTCCAAAGCTTGACTCCGCTCCTGCAGTCTGGCCAATGGATATGTACTCTTTTCTTCCAGGTTCCCAGTGAATGCGAAGCTCACAGGACCAGCCGAGGGTGTCTCTTTCTCTTTGTTTTGCAAAGGTGCTACTTTGATCACTCTAGGGTGAGCCTTAGAGTGGCTCAGGCCCATTTTACCCTAAAGACAGTCAAACGAAAACCATGAGGGAAGAGAGCATGGGGCCTTTAATGTAGGTCGTTTTGATCAAGGTATTTCAGACGTTTAGCCTTGCTTTCCAAAGCAGTTGTTTCCTTCCTGACATCTTTGTAGGCCTACTTAACCACACACTAACCCTTCTGGCCACTTCCTGGGAGGGTGGTTTCCATAGAGACTTCCCTCCAACTCCCACTTTGTCATTTCAGACCCAAAGAATTCAGTTAAACATTGACTTGGTTATGCTACTTTCTGAAAGGCTCAGTGGTAGGAGTAGAGACCTCTATTGATCATTAAACAGATCTCTAGCCCCAGAAAGGTCATTAACAGAGATGGAGAGCAGAGGGTTAGAGAAGTCTTAAACTTGACCCTTTCATTGCATGGACCTTTAAACCCCACCTGTAAGAGCTACCAACGAAGTAAGAATAGCTAAATCACCTTTGGACAGGAGGGATACAGGCTTATCATCTAGGGCTTAGTCAATCTTTAATTTAAATTGAAGAATTTATCTTCCAACTGTAAAGAAACAGCAGAAAAGCCAAAATAATTTGATTTTTCTGTCAATAACTTGAATTGCCTTAAAAGAGATGAATACATTACAGGAGGCTAGGGAAACAATAGGAATTTTCCCCAAAGACAATGGGACAAACTTCTTGAATAAATGGTTCAAGTAAACCTTAATAAATGGTTCAAGTACCAGTAAACCAGTTAACAGTATCTTCAAACAAAATTATGATAAAGATTAAGATATTCAAACAATATCTAGCAGATTTATTTTTTTTTTTTTTGATACAATCAGTTTAAGTATTCCTAAGGGCAGGGTAAAGTATTGTAAGTCAACAAATGAATGAGAATTTATATAGGAGAGCAGTTAGGGACAATCAGGCAGGCAGGCAGAGGCAGTTAGGGGCGATTAGGTGGACAGGCAGAGGCAGTTAGGGGAGATCAGTCAGGCAGGCAGAGGAAATTAGAGGTGATCAGGCAGGCAGGGGAGTAGTTAGGGGCATCAGGCAGGCAGGTGAGCGGTTAGGAGCCAGTGCTCCTGGATTGCGAGAGAGATGTCCGACTTCTGGTTTAGGCTTGACCCTGTGGGCAATCTGACCATGGAGTTCTCAAGGAGTGTCCTTGCACAAGCTCCAGTGATCAGAGCTTTCTTACCTTGTGTATTGAACACCTTCCTTTAGGACATGGAGTGAGCTAAGTACCTGTTATCCCACTCCTAACACTCCTTTTTGCTTTTCCATTCAAACTGGAGAGAGCAAAGCTACAAAGCTGCTTTCTTAGTCAGAAATCTCTGCTTTTGTTCTTGGTTCTCTCCTGACTCCTCAAAACAATAAAAATGGAACTTCCATTTGACCCAGTGATCCCACTTCTAGGAACATATCCCCCGAAACAAGAAACACCAATCAAAAGGATATGTGCACCTCTATGTTCACAGCAGCACAATTTACCATAACTAAGATTTGGAAACTGCCTAAGTGCCCATCAGCAGATGAGTGGATTAGAAAACTGGTACATCTACACAATGGGATACTATTCTGTGTTTAAAAAGAAGAAATTCTTACTATTTGCAACAACATGGATGGAACTGGAGAGCATTATGCTAAGTGAAATTAGCCAGTCAGAGAAAGATAAATATCACATGATCTCACTCATTTGTGGAATATAATGAACAACATACACTGATGAACAAAAACAGATTCAGAGACAGAGACCCATTAGATAATCAAATCTCGGAGGAAAGATAGGGGAAGGTAGGTGTAAGGGGGAGAGATCAACGAAAGGATTTGTATGCATGCATATAAGCCTAATCAATAAACACACAAACACACGAGGAGGGTGAGGACATGAGTTGGGGGGGGCAGTAGGGGAGCAATGGGGCGATAGGACACACATGTAATACCTTAATCAATAAAGAAAGAAAAAAAAAAAGAAATAGGGTTGACTCCTCCCTAAAAAAATTCTATAGTAAAGTTAATGCAGTGTCACGGAGACTCGTGGATGTTTCTGCTCACTATTAAGAGAAAGTCTACATTTGAACAATGCTTTAAGTCTAAGTTTGGTATCAGAGAGTGGTGAGGTGCCTTTTTACACTTCCTTACAATTTTTCATAGCCGGATTTACATTATATGTCTCCTCTGAGTCAGCAAGACAAAAGGTTCTTCCCCTCTTCCCCCAACCCCGTCCCCCCTCCCATGTAAAAACATTACTTATCTTTGTTCATAGGATTGTGTTTTGATAGCTCTTGCCTTAGTTTCGATGGACTTCCCAGGCTCATCCACATTCCCTGGATCAGATAGCTCTTGGAGATAAGAAGCCTGGAGGAGGAAAGGTAGATTTTTCAGCAGGAAGCTCACAGGTACCATGTGAATCCAACAGGTAATGAATGGGGACTGCAATAGTAGTAGCAGTAGCAGTAGGTTCTAAGCAGCTACAGGCAATGTAAAAGCACACAAATGATTAATGGCTATGCACATTCACAAATAGAAAATTTTGATATTTAAACAATCTAATATTAGAGAATATTAATAGACTATAATAATTTTAATAGAGTATATATATCCATATATTCAGATGTTTATGATGAAGGAGAATCATTGAAGAAGATTGCCTTCTGCATGCCCCCTTCTGGGGATCGAGCCCACAACATGGGCATGTGCCCTGATCAGGAATCGAACTGTGACCTCCTGGTGCATAAGTCCATGCTCACTCACTGAATCACACTGTTTGAGCTGGATGTTTTATAGTAGGCAGGTGATGACCACTAAGTGATTTTCCTTAGCATTGGATGGTGGTGCTTTGATCAGGTTGGTTAAATTGCCTTTTGATCCTTCAGCTTAATGGGGGTTTTTTTGTTTGTTTGTTTGTTTTTGAGAAAAGTTTGGACAGAATTGAAAACAACGTATGTATAAATCTTCCTTAGGGTTGGATTTAATCTCACACATGGGTTAATTACTACTCATTGGCCATTTAGAAAGTGGGGTGTAAATCTTAAGTGTTTACAGGATTCTTAAATGATGCTTCTAATAAAGTTATAGCATTTTCTGCAATTTATCGGTAGTGGCTAAGCCGTCACTGGAGGCTTTTCAGCAATGTGAATTATGTGTTTGGATGCCAGCTAAGCAGAGTTGATGTATGACCAAATCTTAATTTTCCTCCCAGTGATTATTTCCCTCTATACATTGGGTGGGAGGGGGAATGTGCAATTAGATCTCCTTTGTTTGGAATTGCTGAAGCAAAACAAATAGGTAAAAAAAAAATGTGAATTTAAGCTGCTGTGTAAGCTGTTAAATAAGATCAGTTTAATCAAATATATATTTTTACCCTTTAAATGCAGTCTGCAAGTGTATCATTGAATTAAATGCTAAAAATCAAACCATCACATATCTGAAGATAGCCAATGCATGGGTTTCTTAAAATGCATTGCTAATGGATTTAACTTAGGCCAAATCATTTTTCTGTATTTTATTTCTTACTGGGAGAACATCAACCTTTCACTATAATGACCAGGTTTCCTTTGCCTTTCTCTTCATTTCCTCCTTTATTCTGTTATTTCCCATAAAATGTAATGCTACTCTCATTGCTCTGGTCCTCCATCTGACTTCCTTCCTTCCTTCCTTCCTTCCTTCCTTCCTTCCTTCCTTCCTTCCTTCCTTCCTTCCTTCCAGATTACATTTTAACTATTGTCCATGGGTGTTTGTCTCAAGAATTTACACTGACATTTAACCTTCAATACATGCCCCCTGTCTGGTCTAAACAGTCTTTCAGGATATAGACCTAAATTAAATGACGTATACTTTTCCCTAAGATAAGTGCCTACTGAATACCTACTGAACCAAATTTTGAGTCCCCCCCCCCTTTTTTTTTTTTAAGAAATTTAATTGTGGACCCAGAGGTGAAGAAGTGAATTTATAAATGTTAAGGCAGCACAGGAACAGGGTAAAGAAGAGTACAGAGAACCAGCAGTTCAGGGCGACCCAAAGAGGCCCAGAGAGAAGCTTCAGTTGGTGTCATTGAACTGAACACTAGTCTGGCCAGTGCTAGCTCCCAAGCTCAGAAACCCCAGTTGTCAGAGGATGAAAACTGCCTCCATTCTGGGTCTGCCCAAATCAGGATGTCTCTGTTCTGAGAAAGTCTGTACGTGGCTCTTTTAAAAATTGCTTTGAAAGTGCTGACTGGGTAGCTCACTTGGTTAGAGCATTGTCCCAATATACCAAGATTATAAGTTTGATCCCCATCCAGGGCACATAGAAAAAGCAACTAATGAATGTATAAATAAATGGAACAGTAAATTGATGTCCTCTTTCTCTCTCTCAAACTAATAAGTAAATTTTTTTTAAAAAAAATTGTTTTGAGATGATATTAGAGGATATCAAATAAAGAGATCTCCTCCAAAATTTCCCCTCCTTTCATTCCCTCTTTTATTCCTTTTATTTCCCATCAAATGTAATGCCAAGAAACACTGAGGTACCACCCTCACTGCGCTGGCCCTCTGCCTTCATTCGTCCAGGTGGCCAGGAACCCTGATCTGGCTCAGGTCACTTGGCAAAGCAATGAGTACAGAGACTTCCTGTTACCTGGGGCTAAGCTCTGGCCAGCGCAGTCAGGTGGTCACTCTGACCTCGTTTACCACTTTCCTTCTGGGCAGAAAATATGTTTGTGATGACATCCACATTTAACTCTATGATCACCTTTGGGCTCTGTAGGGGGCAACTTTCTTCCTTTCTTCCTCTTTCCCTCCCTCCCTTCCTTCACACTTCAAAGATATCTCTCCAGAGGGGAAAGGGAGGGATAATATACCCCTCCTGCCTGTCACTGGTTGAGAACTGCTGAAGGGAGAACAGGAAGAAGGGTGTCAATTCCCTCCCTCTCTTCCTTCCTTCCTTCCTTCCTTCCTTCCTTCCTTCCTTCCTTCCTTCCTCCCTTCCTTCCTTCCTTCCTTCCTAATTCAAACAGAAAGTAAATCAGCATGATTGCTA